CAACGCATGCGCGATCTGATCTCCAAATTATGCCCCGCCTCTTCCGTGACAACTCTCACGCATTCAAAAAAAACAACAAAAAAGTCCCTCTCACACGTACAAAAAATTAGTCTTTCACACAGAAAAATACAAGTCTCAACCCCATTCATTCATACTACTTCCAGCCTAGTATTAGTTCTTGACCTATCATTCAGAATAATTTATCTGTATGCTTTGTGTGTATGTGTGTGTGTGATATTGTAGTAGTGTATATGTGCAAGTTTAGTCTTGTGTGTGTGCGAGAGAGAAAAAATATTGTATGCGCGTGTGATATTTTAATAGTAAATATGTGAAATTTTAGTATTTTGTGTATGAGAGAGAAAATTGTATGTGTGTGACATTTGAATAGTGTGTATGCACCATTTTAGTATTTTTTTGTGTGAGAGAGAAAAATTGTATGTGTGTGACATTTTAATAAATGTATATGTGCAATTTTAATATTTTGAGTGTATATGAGTCTTTAGTAGTGTGTGAGACAAAACATAGTTTTTGTCCTAAACAGCCCCTCATATGTTTCCATTCCTGGTATGTAATACCTTTTGAAGTCTTACATGTTTATCTGGAGCCTGGTTGCAACATTGTGGCTCCCCATTTTTAGAAATAGTGGTTAGGGTTACAGGAATGGTTTGAGAATGGATTACATTAAAAATATACAGGTAACAAATTTAATGTAACTGCTTAGGTTTCACCTAACTAACTTGGACTAACTAAATAAATAAATGAAAGTCCATACAAAGTCCTAATGTGGTTAGAAATACAAACTTGTGTTTTTCTTATGTGTTCATAAAAATCAGGGCTGTTTGATTTCCCTCACCCTCATGACCCCAGCAAATGTCTGAAAGCTGAATGTTATGAAAAAATGACCCAGTCACCGGACACTCCTCTTAAAGAAAATGATTGAAAATCCTTTTAAAACAGGCATTTTTCCTTTTTGTCTCATTTACCTACAGATGTTTCGGAAAAAAGCATCTTCATCTTTGAGAGTGACAAGGATAACGGGAAGCTCAACATGTAATAATCTTTTCCTCTTTGTAAAATGGGTGTAAAGTGTTAGACATTCAGCTTTGTCAGTAGAAGCCATTATTATTATTGTCAATTCTTTCAATTCTCCTTAAGTGGGTTGTTTTACCCAATACTTCTTCTGATCACTGAAATGTTGTGAAATTTAAAATACATCTGGGTTGGTTTCTTCAACATTGTTGAATGTTGAAGTAAAAATGCATGCTTATGTCTTCAGGTGAATATTTCTAATTTCTTTGACTCAGCTTTGGAAATGTTCAAATGGTGGTAGGTTGTAACTTTGTAAGTGTGAGCTGTTTGCTTTTTCATATTCTGAAAAGACTTTGTCACTTTATCTTTTTTAAGAACATTTTTGGTACTAGTGCCCTTTATTTGACAGTAATTTGACAGGAAGTTGACAGAGAGATGGGAAGGGGGAAGACATGCGGCAAAAGAGCTGAGGATAGGAGTCAAACAAGTACAGCTGCGTTGAGGTCTGTAGCTTCTGTATAAAGGCATCTACTCTAACCACTGTGCCATGAGACACCCCAACATCATCCTTACATTTGACAGATCCAAAATACTTTTACCTCTAGTTCACACATGAACTTGACAGAAGCCATTCATTCAAAAATATTGGAAAAATTCAGGTTCAGATAAAAAAAGAGCGTGTTAGGCATAACAGAATGCTGCAGAATTTGATGAGTTTCATTTAAAGCTAATCCAGAATTACAAATTAGACTTTCCAGGCATTGGTTCTGTACTACAATATTATTGTTATTGTTATTTTGCAATTTAAATTCAACACTGGTCAATTTAAACTAATCAAATTGATGGTGTAGGGTCTGAGAATATGAGGATAAAGACTATACATTAACAATGCTACTTAACCTTAATCTGATCAAGTTTTTTGTTGTTGGCAAGGTGGGAGGATATGTGCACAAAAATGTGTATTATGGAAATTTCATTATCAAAGAATGAGAAGCTGTTTCAATAATAAGAGAAAGATTAATCTTTGTCTTTAAGTTTCTTTATTCGAAGGCAAAAGCGTTCGAAGACCCATCTCCTTAGCACAGTCAGAAGAAGAACCCTGAACAACACACATCACATCGATATACAGTCACAGCAAGGAAAGGACCCACCCAAAGTCTGATCTTATCTCTATTGCCAGATGGACCACAAACCCAATCCTGACCCCGACCTCATGAAGTATCCCTCACCTCTTGGAGGGGATGATTTTATGGCAGGAAAGAGAGCTGATAAGGATTTCAGGAGAAACTTCTAATTCTTCTTTGTCAGTTAATCATGGGTTCAGGTCAAACCAGGGTACAAACTACATTCCACACGTCAGTCCTTTAAGACAATTACCAGATCAAGCATTTTACCCAAGATGTCTTCAGGTCTCTTCTGCTATCACAGCTGTAGAAACATCTAAACATTATCTGCAAACTTATTTAATGGACAAACACATCTTGCAGAAATACAAAACAAAGCAGATATAATCCGTAAATAAATGAGAAAAAGTATCATCAGTTCCATCAAAAATAAAATAAGACTGAAAATGAAAATTTTTATTACAGTGTTTTCTTGTAATTTCAGCCATTTTGGGTAGATAATATTTGTTTTTTACAGTGCATATTAAAAGTATTACTTGCTCTTGTTAAAAAAAATAAGACCATGATATATATATATATATATATTTTTTTTTTCTCGAAATAATGTGACTAATACAATCACGTGTACTATTATAACAGTTTTGGATATACAGGTTTTTCATTTCAATTTCAACAACAAAAACTAAAGACTTTTTTTTTACATTTCATGTGAAAAGTCATAAGCACAATTGCTGGTATGGAATTACTTTAAGAATTGAGGGCTCTCATCTCAATTCTTAAAGTAAAGAAATGCATGATAGGAACATTTTTCTCAGCTTTATAAAGATGATTTACTTAGTTTAAACCTCAGACCAGTGCTTGGGTCAGTTTAAAGCTATTAACAAAATAATTACGCTAAAGCAGAACTCTGCAACATGACAGTGAATCCACCACGAACTCCATGAAAATTGTGTAGCTTAAAAATTCTGGGCAGTGAAAGTTCATATTACCATCCTTTTGAAGAAGAGTTTAGTGACTTGAAATGTAATTTTTTTATAACTTCCATAGATACAAAAATTAAACATTAATATTTCTTATTAAAGAAATATTACATAATTTCTTTCAAGACTATTTTGTGCAATATAATCGACAAAAAATGCACTAGCAGTTGCTTTTAACCTAGTGTTTTGAGAAACACTATGTTTATGTTTGTATTTACATTAATTTATTTTATGCAGATATTCTACTTTACTGTATTCAAACTGGAAAAATCCAACCGATGAGAAAATTTGCTAGGTTCCTAAAATATGTAATCTAATGTAGGAGCAGTTTTTCAAAATGAATCCACTCTCCTACTTTGGAATTAAACTGCACCTGAATGCAATTATTCTTTTGAACACTAAGAATCTCTGGAAAGTTCAATGCATATGTGAAAAGAGTTGGACTAAGTTGCACATATTTTTTTTTTTTTTACTACCAAGACATTAAATTGTTCCTTTGTTTTTTACAAAGATGTTATGAAGAAGGAACTAGATTAGATTATGTAATTAATTAAAAGCTTTCTGCTTCTGCTAATCGACAACCAAAACACAACTTCCTTTCAGAGACAACTTCAAGTTCTCCAATCTACTGTGCTCTGTTCAGGTAGTTACAATACTTTTAGTGCAAGGTATCATCTCTTGAGTCAACTAATCTCCCTTAAGTTTACATTTTTCTATCAGAAAACTGCTTCAGGTACTACTTTTTAATTAAAATTATTTGAACTGATGTTTGTGGTGGTAAAATACTAATTTGTGGGTAAGAGGTTCTATAAAAGCAGTGACACCTTACTTTGTCTACCTCTTTTTTTGTTCTGCTGTGCCATCAAATCAACAAGTCTTTTGGGGATCTTATTGAGGTCAAAAGTGAAACATATGGTCTCTTTGTTTCTCTGTCCACTTTCTTTTTTCTTCACTTTATTTGTTTTGTTTTCTTCAAAATCAGGTCAAATAGGTCTTTCTTGTTGATAAATTAGAATATTTTTAAAAGTTGGTTTATTCCAATAAATTATATTTATTGCATTCATATGCAATAAATATAATTGTTCAACACATGAATTTACTATGGAAAATAATATATTACAAATAATTGTTTGTAATAAAGGATTTTCACTTGTGGATCTAATGATGTGATAAAGAAATTAAAGTTGCTTTAATAGAGACCTTTAGCTTACTTTTGTTGTTTTTTCCTTTTCTTCCTGAAGATACAAAGATTATCTGAGAAGTTTAGTTAAATCCAGTTTGCTGGTTAATTGCCTTTTGAAGCAGATATAGGTACTTTAAAAATGTGGACAGGTGCCAACTGCAGCAGGAAAATAAAATTAGGATTTCCATAAAGATGTGAAGGGCATTCCAATTTTCTAATAAATGGCTGCACTGACTAAGGAATTGAACAAAGTTGAACCAACAGCAGCAGATAACATCACTTTCCAAATGATCACTGACTGTGGAAACATCACTCTAGAACTCAAACAATGTAGATTCTGTTCCTCTACACTCTTCCTCCAGGCTCTTGAGCCAAGATTTCCAATGAAGTGCAAATTTTACCTTGATCTAAAAAGATGAATTTGAATCACTGATGAACAATCCTTTATTTTTGCAACACATCAAAAGTGTTTTCCATGAAAACACTTTTGATGTGGTTCATGAATTATTTAAACTAAAGGAATGTGGTAGTTGAAGTCAATTTTCTGGATATGTTTGTGTGTTGAGGTCTTTGAAGCACAGAGTCCAACTGAAGCCTATGCTAAATGAGTTTCTACCCATTTTTGAAGAGGCTATGCTTTACAATTTTCTTAAAGGTGCAGTATGTAGCTTTTATAAAAACATATTTGTGTTTTTTGTTGTTGTTGTTGTTGTTAAAACTATCTCATGTTGTGAGAGCATGTTATGAGACAGATAATCTGTGAAAAGATAAATCTTCTGCGCTACTATTACTGTCTGAAGAAAAGCACCGCTCCTAACCAAAAACAACCAATCAGAGCCAGGAGGAAGGTCTTTGTGCTGCCACTCAACGTCACATACTCACTGCTAAATGTGCTAATGGCAAAGAAACAACTTACCATTACAGGAAAACTTTACCTGCCATCATCAGTGACCATACTAACCAGCCCACCATTCACAAGATCTGCTGATAAGGAAAAGGTTTAGTGGTAGTAAAGAGCAACATTGACAGTTTCAACAAATATGTTAAAAAATATTTTTTATTAAAGTTACATACTGCAGCAATAAGGCTGCAGTTAACTTTCGGCTGTCCACATTTTTTCCTTACCCCCCACCCTGACTCTGGACATCTAGCTTCTTAACCAATGACCAACCAGCTACTTCAGTATACATTATGGAATTTTGCCATATGTGATTTACAGCAGCGGAACAACTATTATGAGTTCACCAGTTTGAAGACAGAGGAAATGATAATTGACAAAATAAAAAAAAAATGGAAGGCCAGGAACTGAGCAGGGAGCGGTGGGGGGTGGTTAATATTTCAGTATGTACTTCCTTGTGGTTTCAAAGAATTGCTCCTCAAAATCTCCTCTCTTTGGAGGTTATTCTGGGCTCTTTGGTTACCATTTGTATTTTCCTTCTCTTCACTTTGTCATCAGTTATCCTCCAAGAGCTATATAGCCTGCGTGGTTGGCTACAGTTCTGTGGACTTGAAATTTCTGAACAATATATCAGAGGAGCATCAAGCTTATAGATGATATATTATTTGGATAAATATAGTCTTCACCTTTAACATGCTTACCTATCATTTCTTTTCTGATATCTTGGGGCAACTCTCTTTCACTTCTCGTGCCTGTGTTCATGTAGTACACGCCATGTAACCAAAAAGCACTGTGACAATTAGACACTCCTTAGGCAGACTGAGTTTGGAGACACCTGCAATGTTATTTAGTGGACACACCTTTGTTTAGCATATTCATATGGTCAAATTATTATTACCTTTTCAAGAGATATCTATGTTTCTCAAGATGACAAGTGTCTTCTCTGTGCCTAGGAGAAAAAGAAAAACTAGACTATTGCTGAGAGTTCCGAAGTCCTTTTCTCAGATGCATTTATTTATTTCATTTGTTTTATTTATTAATTTATTTGCTTCATTTACAGTTTAAAACCATTGCTTATATCAAATGTTGACATAAGCAAAGGTTTTCAATAAAAAGAAGTAGTTGGAAGAAAAAAAGTCTTGAAAGTTGTTTGCATTGCATTTTGAAGTCAGTGTCTCAGAGTTTAGAGGAGGACTGGAGAGGCACATGCTGTTGAAGTCCAGTGTAAAGTTTCACTGTCAGTGATGATTTGGGGTGCCTTGTGATCTGCTGGTGTTGGTCCACTGTTCATTCTAAAGTCCATAGTCAACACAGCCATCTAACAGGAAGTTTTAAGATGCTTGATTCTGCTGACAAGCTTTATGAAGATGGTGATTTCATTTTCTAGCAGAACTTGGTACCTACTCACACAGTCAAAGGTATGAAGAGCTAGTTCAATGACCAGATTAAGCAAGACAAAAATCACATAAAAATGTTCAAATTGATTTTTTGTGATGTAAATGTATCCCTCTGTTTTCTGTAGGTGTTTTACATTTTTTAATGAATTTACTGATATTTTATTGAGTAAATCACACTTTTGATAGTTTTTGAATGTTAAAAACACCAGTATTTTTTCAATAGTTTTTGTGATAGCCCCTCATATCTCTTCTCCAGTTACCTTTCTTTTACACATTTTTCCCTTTGTACTTTTCTCTTGGAATACAGACAGGGGGCGTAGTTTGTCCTTCCATGAGGTTCGTTGCCAACGTGAGATGGAGATGAGGGCCGGAACTGAAGAGCCATCAAATAGCAATGTATCAGGTGGTGGCAGTACAGTCCTTCAGCGTCTCCTTCAGGAGCAGATGAATCGAAACTATGTGCTGCAACAACAGCAACAGTCTGGAGGAGGGGGGGTTGGAGTAGCAACAGGAGGAGGAGGTGGAGGTGGCTATTCAGTACTTGGACAGGTAAGCCCCTCTGATGATCATTCTGTAAGCGCTCACATTGCAAGACAAGAGCCCCAGGGACAGGAGCTTCAGACAGACAGTGGCCTGGAGAAGGTTGGTGTCATCAGAGTTGGTGGGCATGGTGGGGGCAGTGGAGGTGGGGGATGTGTGGGCTCTTGTGGAGAAGCATCCAGTGGCGGGGGCAGTGGAGTTGGTGGCATCACCCAAGGACAATGCCCTAACCTAGAAGATCTCCCTACATACGAGGAAGCCAAAGTACAGTCACAGTACTTCCGCGGCCATGGTTCTCCTCCTCAGGCTCAGCAGCAGCAGCAGCAGCAGCAGCAGAATGGCCAGGCCCAGCAGCCTTCACTGCCTGCCTCATTAGGTGCTGCTTTCTACGTTACTGGCCTGACCAGCACCAAAGTTCGCACTGAGGGTCGCCCAACACTACAGCGCGTCAGTGGTACCGGGAAGGTGCACCAAGATGATGGACTAAAAGATTTAAAGCAAGGACACGTCAGGTCTCTCAGTGAACGACTTATGCAACTTTCTTTAGCCACCAGTGGTGTGAAAGCCCATGCTCCTATAAGCAGCACCCCACTTTCCCCACAGCTACCCCCATCATGCCAGCCTGGAGACTACTACAAGCCACAGCATCGAGGCCCACCACCAGACTATCCTTTTAAAGGAATATGTTCTCCTGGCAGTCATCCAGAATCTGGAGGCCACTTTTATCAGGAGCCAAGAGTAAGGAATCACTCCAGAGAGGTTCCAACTGTTCGATATCAGCCCCCTCCTGAATATGGCTCTTTCAGGTAATGAATAGTGAACACACACACATATACATGGCACATAAAAAAATGCCTTTCCGCTGAAGAAATCAGAGCCATATCAGTCAAAAAACACATTAAAATCTAGAAAACAATCCTGGTAGGGAGGCAGGACATTTTGGGTGAACACTGAAATAAAAGGGGAGCTTTATAGTGAAAGCGTGCAAAGCATTTCTCGCTAGTTGAAAATCCCCAACATTTTGTTGCAGTGTGTATAGCATATTTTTACATTGACAAAATCTGACAACCCTGCTGAAAATTTTGAATTACAGAAAACTCAAGCTTCGCAAAGAATAATGGTCTGATCAGTTACAACTTGTTTTTGTATTTATACAGGTTAAAGTTATCACAATTCTCAGGATTTTTTAGGGCCATTTACTGATTTTAAGTTTACAGTCTCATTTAACTGCCACTGTGTGCATACGCCCAGTTAACAAATTATTGCTATACAGTTGACAATAGAGAATAAAATGTGGTTCCAGTGAAAGCCATAGCTTGATTCCAATAGGATTTGATCTGAGATAAGTCAGTTAAACATGGTTTCTCAATAGTGTCTCAGAAATGACAAGGACAGATCCTGTTGGGCTGGTTTCACAGTAGTCATCGCCATCTACCTTGAAGCAGAGTCTAACAGTAATGAATTCCAAACTATTTTATTCATTTGGCAGGACAAGTTGAGACATGAAATGTATCTGTCTTGTGACAGTAAGGGCAGGTATGGTTGCAATGCACAAAGTCCCTTGTTTTTTTATATACATTTTTGTTGTTGGTTTTGGAGTCTAAGCATTTGACAAATTAAATATTTGCTAAATGATAAATGTTATTAATGATCCAAAATTATGCTAATGCTTACAGATGTAGAAGAGCTATTGTTTAGTTATATTGTTGTCAGGTCAGCCTCCTGCTGTGATTAAGGAGAAAAAACAACTGAGTTGTAAGTTTGATTGTTTGAATTGAAGGAGTGAAACAGTATTTCTACTGCAAAATAATATTTATATTTTGAATTCAAATGAAGTAAACCCAGAAAATATTTCTATAAGCAAAGCTACACCCTTTTTTGATACCAGAAACCTCTCTGCGAGTGAATTTTATTTTTAGTGTGTCAAGAACCTGCTTCTCAGAAACTGCTCTGACGTTCCTTTTTTTTTAGGTAATTATGATGCAAGAGTAGCCATGGCAGATGGAGTATCATGTTTCATATATAAAATAAAAAAAAATTCTCATACCACTATTTGCAAACAATGTTGGGAAATGCATCTTCACATCCTTTTAGAGATTTTTTCTGCTTTGCTTTTTTGTACACAAATCGTACAGAGGATCTGGACCCTTGGCTAAAGAGAAATAATTGCTCGCTGGAGGCACGAACTCTATTGAAGTTCTAAATGCTACTCAATCTTTAACCTTTACTCGTGTTGTATGTACTGCGTCTGTTTGACGATATGAAGCTCACCAAAAATGATCTGTTCTGTAAACAATAATCCCGCGCCCACTGCGAAGAGAGAAGTGCCAAACTGAACAAGGCGACTGTTAATGTTAATTCAATTTTTGGAAGTGTGGACATCACCAAATGGCTTCGTTCACTTCTTCTGTTGCCATTGCTAAAACCATAGGCAGACTACAATTCTAAAACAGTGCAGAAAATCAACTGCATCATTCACAACTTCTCCTTTTGTTCATTGCTAATTGACCTGGTTGAAATTCTGCCTGAGCTATTCACTTCAATGGGAGAAAGCCCAGACAGAGCACTGAAGGGAATTTAGAATCGAACAGAATTGTGTAGGAAGGCATTGGCCAGCCTAGATAAGGCCACCATGAGACCTTGAATTCACTGTAGTTGTCATGCCTCATAGATCTGTTCAATATTTGCATCTAATGCAAAATGCGTCTCCATAACACATATTTCTCTCTTGTAGGCTACATAATGTAAGTTCTCTGCTCTCTGAACTCATGTAGCACACACTGTGCAAAGCTATCCCCATTTTTTTTCCTTTTTCTTTCTTTTTTTTTTTTTTTACTGTTTCCTTCCTGTGTAGACTGTTTTCTGCTTGCACAGAACAAATCCTGCAGCCCTACATTCTGCAAATGTGTATTTTCGCACCTGCAGAGAACTTCACACCTCCCAAAAAATTACACTCAAGAGACCTGGTTTCAAGAGACTGTAAGTGTAAGAGACTGTTGTAAGCGGGCCCTTAATTAGTCCACTTTTTAAGGTTATCATCCAGCTTTTCATTCCCACCTGTGGCTGCAGTCTTGATGATCTGCGTGAGGATGTCCTTCGGAACTTCCTCCCCGTTTTCCATGGTGATCTTTCTCTTTTGGATCAGCTGAGCTCCGGTTGTGCGCAGCAGGCGACAGGCCCTCACTTCGTTAACAAACGTTCTGTTCCTGGGGTTGTACTGGAAGAGAAAACTCCAGTTACAGCGCCCTCGAGCGTTGAAGAGCTCTTCTTCAACGATCGATTCATTTTTTTTTTATGTAAAAAAAAATGTTTTTTATATATGAAATGTCATTGTGTCATATGGTATGAGACAGATAATCTGTGAAAAAAATCAAGCTCCTCTACCTCCTCCCTGAGCTACTATTGCAATCTACAGAAATGCAGGAAGATCTTCAGTCAAGCGTCATCAATCAACCTCCTGTATGTGCTGCTCAATGTACTAATAGCAGAGAAACCATTTACTGTTACAGGAAAACCTTTTATCTGCCCTCGTTAGTGGCCAGGCTAAGTAGTCTGAGCATTCACAACAGGCTCTACTGCCAGGAAGAAGCTTTAGCATAGCAGAGAGCAAGGGGAAGTGTCTGAGCAGACTGTACACAAGAGTGATTGATAGTGCAAGCACCCTCCTAGCTCTGACTGGTTGTTTCTGACCTTTAAGTTAACTTTTTTGTCATGACTGTGTATTTGTAAACTTGAAATGGTCTTTTTGTCCACATACAAATATTTTTTGTATTCTGTGCAAAACTGAAGGCAGGCAGCATTATAACCTCACAACTGATCTCTCCTCAGATCCACTAAGGAGGTCTCAGTTCACTACCAGAGGCCCCTCAACCAGCACAGTCCCAGCTCCTCTGTGACCTCTGTTGGATCCTTGTCTCGTGCACAATCCTCTACTCTGAGCAGCATGCTCTCTGCTGCCTCTCACTCCTCTCATCCATCAATTCCTCACCAGTCACCTCCAAGCCAAGGAGAGCCATACCCAATTATGGGACCCCGTGTTCCACATGGATCAGGCTCCCATCAAGTGGCAGAGCCTTTCCCCCCAGGACCTGTTCATCAGACAACGCAGAGGGGTCATGCTTTTCTTTCTGACTCTTATGGCTCCACTCCAAGGTTGCATCATCATCAGCAACACAATCAATGTCAACAGCAGCAACTCCAGGGTCCTTCCCATCCCCAGTTGTCTATGCAGGCAGGACATGTTCCCCAGCAGCAGTCCTTCATACAGCTACAGGGAGAGCCTTTTGCAGTGATGGCCCATGCCCAGCAGATGGTGGATGTGATGACTGAGGAGAACAGAATTCTAAGACAGGAGATGGAGGCTTGTCGTGAGAAGGTCACCAGGTTACACAAGGTAAGATTTTCATCAGAAGGTCTAACACATGTAGTCATTGGTTTTTACTCCCTCTGCTTCACCATGTTTTTGAATTTTTTGTAGGATATCACTACCAGGCAAGAGTCTATAGATGATTTATAAATGCTATTTTAAATAATGTTTTTTCCCCTCTAATCTATATTTATAGTCTAGATAAACTATAACAGTGCTGGAAGTGTGGACATCACAAACCAAATGGCTTAGTTCACTTATTCTGAATGAAACCATTTGTTCAGAATAACAAATGGCTGCTGCAGACACATTGCTTTCAGAAGAACCTATTGGAACAGTTAGTGATATCAAAATAAACTGCAGTATTCTGAATTTATCTGCAGGCAGTTTCAATTGAAAGAGGCGTAATGTAGCTCCCTCTGTTGCACTGACCAACATACAGTAATAGTATGAAAGTACGACAAGACTGTTATGTTATTCTAGTGCTAACCCAGATTTAGCTAAATCCGGCTTTAAACTTCTCCACAACAGCATCTTGGACCTGCGTGGTGTGTTCCTTGGTCTTCATGATTCTCTCTGCGCTTTAAACACAACCCTGAGATGATCACAGAACAGGTGCATTTATACAGGGACTTGATTACTCACAGGTGGATTCTATTCAT